ATTTCATTTTTTGACGCGGCAGTGAAGTTGAACCTTTGGAGCAAGTGCAGATTCAAGAAAGAAACTTTAACATAATGGCTCTTGGTAGTTTGTCAGACTTATCATACTACTGTTATACTTGGTGCGACACTACACGAATCAATCTGACCTGAAGCACCATTATGGAGTAAAAACTCCAAAAATAGTTGTATGCAGAGAGTATTTTATTGTTGGCTAGGTATGACAAATTTATTGAACACGAACATTAAGTTGCCGTCATCAAAGGTTGAGTCTTCGTTATCTTCAACATTTTGTCACAGTACAAAATGATATTTCTTGTGGATGGTATTCACACAGATCAAAAAATGTCACTTGAAAAAATGAGGTTAGTACGAACGTAAGATAGATAACAAATTTCTGTTTGGTCAACATCATTTTCCAGCACAGCTTTAAACAAACACGGCTGTTTTGGATCGGTCGCCTCCGGCTAGTATTTTTTTAATGAAACGTGAAAAAATGTGACTTGAAAATGTAAACTTAGAACGGACAGAAGATAGATAACAAACAAGAATCCTCTACGTCATTTTACAGCACAACTTCAAACTAGCACGGCCGTTTTTGAAGACATCGGCCGCCCCCGGCCATCGAGGGCGCTAAATAAAAATAATACCGAAATACCGGTATTTTGCCATCAATACCGGTTTTTAATACCGGACAAAAATTGTCCGGGATCCCGGTTTTCGGGATCCCAGTATTGCAAGCTCTACCTGCGACTGAATAAAATATACTGCAAAACGTGACTCAGTTGTTAGTTTTTGATAAATAAATTAGATTAATAAATTATTCTGAAAATAATATTTTTTAGAAATCGTAGATACGTCTATTTATTATAACATAAACACTGTATTTGTATATAAAAAAGAATGGTATCTATTGACAGACACTTTATTTTTTCTAAGATCATTAGTACAAAACATACCAATCAGAAATAAAGCTCATTTTGTGAAAAGTACACACCAATAAAGAAATAAATAAACATTCTTACAAAACGAAACTGTTTTAATGGGGTAATGAGGCATAGAAATTTTGATGTTCAGGTAATCTGATTAACGGAATATCGCCAGACCACTTGGTTTTGGGTCTCTTAGCGGTTCTGTTTTCTTTTTCAGTACTCTGTATCGACCGATACAGAGCGTATCTCCGGCCGGAAGAATCAAATCAGGACTCCGTTGTTGTCAGGATTCAATGCTTCTTAGCGAAGAAGAAAACGACGCTGACTCTAGCATCTGTCTACCTGCCTATAGAAGAGATGGCTCATACTGCGGCCTTGACAACATTAGTCAACGCTAGCAAGGTAAATAAATGGCTACTCATTGTAGGCTGCGACTCCAACGCTCATTCTGTTGCCTGGGGATGTGACGAAGGAAACTTTAGAGGTAAGACCTTGCTTGAATTTATTACGAGTAATGACTTGGAAATAATCAACCAAGGCTGTGAACCCACGTTCGTCAATGCTAGGTGTCAGACGGTTATTGATTTGACCTTAGCATCGGCGAACGTATCTCAAAAGATTGGCAACTGATGTGTCTGCCAGAAGGCGTCTATGTCTGACCATAGATGGATCACTTTTGATTTAGGACCAATTATGCTCTTGAAAAAGAGGGTCCGGGATCCAAAGCGGACTGACTTGAGCATTTTTGTAAGCTGTCTAAATGAGCAATTGCGAGATTTTTCAGATGCCCTTCCTGGAAATACCAATGAATTGGAGAATTACTCAAACCTCGTGGGTGACACACTAACGCAGGCCTTCCACAGTGCATGTCCTGAGAGAATTGTGGAGGAGAGAGGAAGGGCTATATCTTGGTGGACTCCTGATCTACATTCACTGAGGGTCACTTGCAGAAAAGCTTTCAATAAAGCAAAACAAACTAGACTGAATTCTGACTGGACCTTGTTCAAAACACACCAATCAGAGTTCAAACGTTTAGTACGACAAAAGCCTGGAGAGGTTTTTGTGAAGAGGTGAAGAGCGCTGCCGAGGCCTCACGCCTAAACAAAATACTATCTCACGGCCAAAAACACAATTGTGATATTCTAAAAAAGGTCTGATGGCAGTTTTGCCAAGGATCCAGAAAATTCCACCAAGTGGAATTTAACAACGCTCCTACCAGCCAGGACTGGCAGGTAGCCAACCAGGTTGTACGGAATGAGTTGGTAGAGTGGGCCGTCGGCAGTTTTGAGCCCTTCAAAACACCCGGACCCGACAATATATTTCCTGCTCTTCTTCAATGGAGCCTAGAGGATATGAAAATACACTTGATGAGAATTTTTAAAGCCTGCTTAGCCTTTAATTACGTTCCCATCAGCTGGAGAAAAGTTACAGTAACCTTTATACCAAAGAATGGGAAAAAGGACCCAGCGGATCCTAAAGCCTTTCGACCAATTAGTCTCTCCATCATGTCTTTTAAAGAACATTACATTAGGGAGAATGTAGTTAAAGCGTTTCCTTTGCACTTGCACCAACATGCTTATATTAAAGGTAAATGTGTGGATAGCGCCCTACACATAGTAGTGGGGCGCATCGACCAAGCACTTGATTTGAAAGAGTCTATTCTGGGAACTTTCCTTGACATCTGGAGCGTTTGACAAAACCACCTTTATTAGCATTAACTTGGCACTGGAATCTCGAAAAGTGCCATTGGTCATCGCGGGCTGGATAAAAACAATGCTAGCAAGCAGAGTTGTTCAGGCTAAGGCGAAAGGACACACAGTACATAGAGCTGTGGTTAAGGGTTGCCCACAAGGTGGGGTACTCTCCCTGCTTCTTAAATAATAAATATCTCTTCACAGTTGGTTACGCCGACGACATGGCTATCTTGTTAAGAGGTGAACCTGACAATTTTCTTTGTTACAGAAAGCAACAGGCGCTTAATCTTGTTGAACGATGGTGTGAAGAACATACCCTCTCTGTCAATCCTAATATTACTGTGCTCTTTACTAAACAGAAAAAACTGGAACACTTAACGCCACTCAATTTCTCTAATAATCCATTAACCTTTGCTCCAGAGATGAAATATCTGGGTGTTATCTTGGACAAAGGACTATGGCCCTTTAGACGGGCCCTATGGCCAGCATTAACTCTTTTGTGACTTATTCTACTAATACTTTAAAAAAAGAAGCAAGACCCCTTTCACGCTACCAGTATATAGTAGATTTAACTCGTCGCCTTGCTTAGCCATGGATGATAAATAGACTATCAACTACTACATTGCGTCGAAACATTTGTCAAGATCTTGTTCTTATTCTCAATGTTGGAAAAGATGCGGCACCTGTAATTCCTTAAGAGAAAAGTGCTTTTTTTGCCCTAGTCAAAAAAGACGAATGACAACGACGTACTGTGGACAGTGTGGATATCCAATCTGTGGTGAGCACTGAGGAAATATATGCCAAGAATGTAGTGGCACTAACTAATTATAATTAGTTAGTGCAATTATATGTTGCATTAGAGTTTAGTTTTTAAATAAACATTTTTGTTAAAATGTGAGTTTTTCTTACCGTCGTAAATTTTAAGATGGTCCCGTATTGAGGTATTTTGAAACAAGTCTCGTAATCTATGGTTAAGGTTCGTAGACAATGTTGTACTAATCAGTTCAGACATAGAGGAACTGGAAACTATGCTACAAGATCTAAAATACAGCTCAAAGAAAATATGTCTAAAAATGAACCTTACTTAAACCAAAATAATGAGCAACATGCAAAGTGATGTTACCATTGACGTCTCCTTAGAGAATGTAAACCAGTACATATATCTTGATCAAACTATTAAAATTGGTAAAGAAAATCAAACAGTCGAAATAAAGAGGCGGATTACTATCATGGATAGCATTTGGAAAACTCAGTTTTATACTGAAAAACAAAGAAATACCGAAAAGCCCAAACCGAAAGGTGAAAACTTGAAACCATGGCCTTGACAAGGAAAACTGCAGATCAACTTAGTTTAACTCAAAGAGCGATGGAACGAGCAAGTCACTCTGAGAGACAAGATTTGAAATAGCGACATTCGCAGAAGAATACAAGTGACAGATGTTATGAGTCAAGTACGAGAGTTTAGTGGTAATGGGTCGAGCATGTGGCCAGAGCAAACACAGAAAATGGACACAAAGAATATCCTTTTGGAGACCACGAGAAGCTAGAAGAGATGCAGGAACAGCACAAAAGAGAGGACTGATGATATAAAGGGGGTGGTGGGGAAAGACTAGATAAGAACAGCAAAAGACACAAAAGAAATAAATAGAGACATTTGAAAGACGCGCAAATTTCCCTTCAATTTCTAAATGCTGTTTTTTTATTCTATTGTTTCTACTTTTAAATCATTGTACCTAGAAACAATCATTGCTAATATCCCGTATAGTTTGTCACCAACGAGATATACTTAACAATATTTATTTACAAGTCAAATTCGTAGTATGTATATAGTTAACACACGCCACCATGCCACAACAATAAGAAAAATGCTGACACCGTAAAAGATAAAGAAAATAGTATATAAGTCATGTTTATAATCAATTGTATTAAGTCTTTGTTTTAATGTAATAAAATGAGCTTCACTCTTGACTTCAAACAATAAATCGCTTTTTAAAAATATTTCCAACGTTTTTGAAAGTGATAAATATATTGTTTCAACAGATTTTCATCTATTGCTCAAATAAAAAGCATTTTATCTCTCATTTACTCTTCTCAATTATGGCGAAGTGATCAACAAATAAAATATAAGAGCCTGTAAATTTAACTCTTAAAATTACATTAAAGACTTTCGTGTCTTTTTGTGCCCAAAACATAAATAATTTTTACATTTTCCGAAAATACAAAAATTAGAACTATAAGACGTTATGAGGTAAAAGCGCACCCAGCATGTAGAAGATGATCTATATTTGTTAATATTACCTACCACTTAAAAGTGATTACCATCCATGACCAAAAAATTTAATAATTGAAAACTAAATCCAAATAAATTTACTTACACTGTCCCTTGTGCTTTATAACTCTTCGGATATGGCATCCCTATATTAACTCTCTTCGTTTTTTCAGGCGACATTGTATGTCCATACAAATTATTCCCACTATCCCTTGAATTCGACGAAACCGATTCATTAGAACTACTCGCACTATTTCCATCTAAAAATCCACAAAAACATAAATTCAAAAACTCAATTAAAATTTTTAACTAAATGTTCCAACCTAACATCCTTAAATTAGTTGGACTTCCACCAACAACAGGCAAATTCCCCTCTGAAACAACCGTATTACCAAATTTATACTTCCTTATTTGATGTGACGGATGATGATTATTTTGAGGCGTTCGTTCGTAAAACGATTGCCAATTAATTGGGTTGGAATCGTGAGGATTTACTAAACCAGAAGAAGGAGGTCCATGTGGAAGTTGTTCCCCATAAGCACTAATTGTACATGTGTATGGTTGGTTATAAGCCCGAGCATTAGCGTAAATGTACGATTTCGTCGGGCTATAATCGGGAGTTTCCGTGCTGATGTAAACAGGTGGTTGTTGATTTTTGGAAGGATTTGATAAGTGGACATTTGAAACATGATTTTGGGGATTGGGGTTTGATTTTAGATCAAGACGGTTTTCAAGGCGGTTTTCCAGATGGTTCCGCGTTTGATTTTCAATCATCGGTTCACTATTGAAGATCTTTTCATAGTTTTCAATCAAAATTTCAACGACTATGTTGTAAAATTTTAATTCGGTTATCGAGGCCACCGTTTCTTCTTCTGGGCGGAGTAATGTTGGGCCAAAACATACTCCTAAATTACTTATGGTCATTAAGTTTTTATCACTTTTTGCAGCTACCCTAAAAAACAAAAACAAGAGAAAATTGAAGTTTTAATATTTAATAAAAGATTAAATATTACCTTGTTAAATGTTTCATAAGCATTTTTAATACTTCAAAATTAATTTTTGGAATTTTATAAATCAAAATATGTACATCGTTAACTCGCATTTGTCGCGTTTCTTGTTCTGTTAAAAAAGTATTTTTATAACCTATTTTTTATTTTTTTTATAAATAAACTTACTAACTGCCGTAATAAACCCATTATGATATTTAAAAGTCATCAAAGGTTCTGGTAAGTTCCTCAGATAACTTTTTAAACCGCTCGTTATTGTTTTGGTTTCCCATTCTTGTGCGTCATCTAAATTGGCAAGTTTATCGATTTTCCGTCGATCTAAACCAGTATTTAAAAGTTTCTGAACTTTCGAAGTAACCCCAACTATCCTGTAAATACCCTGCTCTTCCAAACTTCTCCTTTCCAATACTTCTATACATTTCTTAAGAAAATTTATGCCTACATCATCTAATATACGTTCTTCCGTATTTTGAGGCTTTCCTGTATAGGTGTATGTCTAAGAAAATAAACGATTTGTTGTATTATTAAAACAATATCTATATACAGGGTATTAGATAAAAAATACCCGAAGCTGTAATTCTATTATTTATATTCCAATTTTTTTGAACCAGATACCAAACGTAATGGTATCATGAATGTGAAAACAAAATCTTTAAAGAGAAAAGAAATTCGGAAACGGGATAGAAAAAGGCTGTAAAGGCAAGAAAGAAACTAGGAAGAGACGCAAATGACTGAAAAGAGACTAAATAGATACTGGAAAGAGATGAAACAAACTGGGCAAAGATTATTGAGAATGAAAAGAGAGTGGAACGAAAAGACTTGGGTTAGATAGAATCTAATGAGAATGAATAAAGACTGGAAGGCAAAGACACAGATTGAGCTAATATTATTATGACTAAAAAACACTAGTAATGGAAGACACTGCAAAAGAAAGAAAAACGCTAGGTAAAGAAGGGAACACAGTCTGTATGGATTTGATATTAAAAAAAAAGATTGAGTACAAGTAGAAAAGAGAAGAACTGGACAGAAAGGAAGGATATTTGGAAGAGACTGGCATTAAAAAATAAACATTTGAGCGGAGACTGAAAAGAGGAGAAAAAAATCTGTGCAGAAAGGGGAAAGGCCGGAAATAGATTGGTAATAAAAGAATGTCACTGGACAAATTAAATAAAATAACAGCCGAATTAAGAGCATTAACAGATAGCCATAAAGAAAATAATATTCAAAAGTACTTAAAAGACCTTACTGACGATGCCAGTACTAATTATTCTGTGTGAAGGCAACAAGAAAGCTTAAAGTTCCAAAAACACATACACCTCCAATTCGAAATAATAATGGAAATTGGGCTAAGAGCAATCAAGAAAAAGTTAATTTGTTTGCTGAACATCTGAAAGAAACTTTTATATCAGACAGTCCAACAACTATGCTAAATAGTGTCCCTAGCGTATTTCAAAGTAATATACCACTGAGTAATATACCATGTGTAAGAATGAAAGAACTGTATTATGAAATACAAATACTAAATATAAAGAAATCGGTGGGCTATGACCTAATTAATGGAGAAACATTGAAATATTTACCAAAACGGGCGATTACAAAACTATTACACATAATTAATGCTGCTTTCAAACAGAAATACTTCCCAAGCATATGGAAAGTTGCTGAAATAATAATGATACCAAAAACAGAAGTTACATCATATAGGCCAATCTCATTATTACCCTTACTATCAAAACTGCTTGAAAAATTACTATTAAAAAGACCTGTCATACAAGAAAAAGCCCTAATACCAACATCAATTTGGGTTTCGGAATAAACATGCAACAATAGACCAAGTGTATAGAATAACGAACACTATTGAAATAGCAATGGAAGAAAATAAAGTCTGCTCCGCCATATTTTTGGATGTTGCACAAGTTTTCGACAAAGTTTGGTTAGATGGTTTAAATTACAAACTAGACTAAATACTACCATCAAGTCAACTATTAAAATCGTATCTTTCTGATCGATATTTTAGAGTAAAATACGAAAACGCTTATTCACCAATACATGAAATACTAGCCGGAGTTCCTGAAGGAAGTGTGCTTGGCCCAACATTGTACTTACTCTACACATTCGACCTTCCTCAGGTACCAGAAACTTTAACAGCTACATTCGCAGACGACACAGCGATCTTGGCTGTTGCAGAAAATGAAGTAGCTGCAGCAAATAAGTTACAATTGACATTAAATTCAATAGAAAAATAGACCAAACGATGGCTAATAAAAGTAAATACAAATAAATCGACATACATAAACTTTACTTACAAGAAAGTAAACTATGTACCAGTACACATAAATGGCAATGCAGGCCCTTACGCCGACACCGCAAAATATCTTGGTATAACGCTGGATGCCAAACTCAAATGGAAAGCTCACGTCAAAAAAAAAACGTGAGGAACTTGATATCAAATTTAGACACCTATATTGGCTTATTGACAGAAAATCAACGCTATCACTAAGAAACAAGTTGTTAATATACAAGCAAGTATTAAAACCAAAATGGACATACGGAATCCAACTGTGGGATTATACCTGCAAGACAAATGCAAGTCTGATTCAAAGATTCCCGAACAAAGTATTAAGGTGCATAGTGAATGCACCCTGGTATATAAGAAACACCGACCTCCATCGCGACTTGAAAGTAGCATCGATGTCATCAGAAATTGTATCATTCAACATCGAGGCCATCCAGTTTCTCGACAACGAGAATGTCCTGCGTCGCCTTCAGAGGATGAAGCCGTTCGATTTAGTGACCTAGTGCCCTAGTCGATTCAAACACTGGGAAATGCTGCAAAACATTATCTAGTTTAATTTAGTGTTAAAAATAAGTAACTAATTAGTATGTATTTACTAGGTGTTATACAATTATTGTGCTATGCATAATATAGAAAAAAAAAACGATAACTCCAAATAGAGGAACGATGCTTGAAAGAATGAAGGGAGATAGGAAGCAGATTGTGAATATAAGAAAAACACTAAGCAGAAACTAGGAAGACTGTAAAATCTAGAAATAGAAGCATAAGACAGAGTAAAAAAGTGTGCACAAAAGAAGAAATTTGAAAAGGGATTAGTAATGGATAGAAAGATACTGAGCAAAAAAGAAAGACCGCAAAAAGACTAGCAATAGATTAAAGTACAGAAGAGAGATTCGAAAGAGACGAAAAAGACTGGGCAGAAATTATTGAAATAAGAGACTAGTAATAGAAGAAATAATCTGGATATAGAGGATGAAGAAAAGAAAAAGATTATGATAACTATCTATCGCAGCTATCTAGGAGCCGAGATACAGGAGGTGTCTGAAAATCGTAAATTTCAAACACTCCCTGTATATCAAAAACGAAGAGGGCTATGAAAATTTGGTTTGCGCCATTGTATTATGAAAGGTAGAAAGTTGCGGCTTTCGCGAACCTGAGCTACTTTTTTGTGAAACTTACAATGGCGCAAACCAAATTTTCATAGCCCTCTTCGTTTTTGATATACAGGGAGTGTTTCAAAATTTACGATTTTCAGACACCCCTGTATATCGGCTATCCGGAAACGTAAAAATGGGTTCTAATAGATTTTTTCACGTCGAATCCAATGGTGCACGTAGAATTTGTCTAGTCATCAAGGTTTTTGAGTTATAAAGAGTTAAGTATTTTAGAAGTTGAGTATTCAGTATTTGAGTTGTGTTTATAACTCAAAAACCGTGATTACTAGAAAAATTCTACGTGCACCATTGGATTCCGCGTGAAAAAATCAATTATAACCTGTTTTTACTTTTTTACTAAGTTTCCGGATAGCCGAGATACAGGAGGTGTCTGAAAATCGTAAATTTTAAACACTCCCTGTATATCAAAAACGAAGAGGACTATGAAAATTTGGTTTGCGCCATTGTAAGTTTCACAAAAAAGTAGCTCAGGTTCGCGAAAGCCGCAACTTTCTATCTTTTATAATAACTGAGATACCCTGCAAACCCATCGAAATTTGGACACCTGTACATACAATACATCTTCATTTATAAACTACTTTTTGGCGAAAAAAATTAAAATATTCCAAATATTCTCTTAAAATTGTTTTTACTGACAATGAAGAACTTGCTATGATAAAACAAAAACGCGCTTCTATCATAAAAAGTCGATAAAGAACGATGTGTAGAAACCAAACATATAATTGCCATTAATAGTAATTACTGTTTTAGACGTTTCCTGAACTTTTTGTTAATCCATTTTTAATCAAAAATTATGAATTGTAATGAACTTACTGGTTTGTTATAAGTTTATTTTGAATGCAGAAAAAACCCTAGTGATCATGGCAAGCTACTCAGTAAAAACAAAGTTCATTGTTTTTTGGTTGCAAGAAGTAGTATTAATGAACGTGAGTACATTACACTGTGCAACAAGAAAAACCATCCCGGTTGGTTCCAATGGTAAATGAAAGTAGACCAACTAACTAACAAAACCCTCGCGGAGTTTTACTATATTAGCTCGGGTTTTTTTTTATGACCACCTAAAGTTGGCATGTATTTACGGCAGTTTTTGGCCGTATTTCTTTAAAATTAAATAATAATAAATGAAATAATTTAAGTTATTTTTATTATTTTTATATACTCTGTTTATTTCTTTAAAACATTTTATGAAAAATGACTTAAAACGGACAGTAGACTACAGGACGTACAGGTATACGTCCAGGGAGTCCATTCATCACCCTTCGCTACAACAAAGAAGCAAGAAAGTCTTACAGGTAAAAAGACGAACAAGTACACGTACAGGGGGTCCATTCGTCACCTTTTTCTATAAGAATGATACAAGAAAGTCGTCCAGGTAAAAAGATGAATAAGTAGAAGGGTAGAAGTTAGATGTTCAGGCGGGTTAGTACATAAGTCCGTAGCTTTTTGTTCGAGAATATTTCTCAAACAGTGAGCATCTGGCAGAGCATCGTTTATTTGTGACTTAGTGATTTGTTTGGTGTGTGTTTACTTGCGACTTGTGTTTGTTTGGTGAATTGTTTGTTGTGTTTACGATGGGAAAATCAGTATTTGTGGCGCTAAAATGGTCTGCAATATAAACAATTTCTGTTACGTTTGTGGCCATTTCACCCCACAACAGATAAAGCATGGCTCTTTCAGTGAAGAATTTAAGTTCGCATATGAGAAATACTTGAACCAACCAGTTATTGCCAACGTGACTTGGGTTCCCTATGTGGTTTGCAAGAAATGTTACAGTGACCTCTTGACTTGGATGCATAGAAGAATAAAAAGTTTGTCGTTCGGCGTGCCAATGGTCTGGACGGATCCGATTAAATCACGACCCATCTGTTTGTTACGCGTGTGTGAATTCTGGTAGTGGAATGAACAGAAAGAAAATGAGGAGTAAAGTGTATTTGAGTGTCCCAAGTGCTCAAATACCATTGCCACACACAGAAAACATTCCAGTGCCAAAACCACCGAGCCCGGACGTGTTATCGGGTATTACTTTTTCAACCCACTTGAGTGATACTTTTTCATTGTATGAACCAGTAGCAACTGTATCAACTGGGCCAATTTTGGTTACTCAAAATCAGCTGGACTCCATCGTTGCGAAGTTAGGACTATCGCAACGTAAGTCGGAACAGTTAGCTAAATTTCTAAATTCGAACAACCTGTTGGCACCTGAGACAAAAGTCACAGCATATAGGCATCGACAATCCGCACTGCAAAAATGTTTCACTGTGAATGAGGAGCAAACATCTGCATACTGCAAGGATGTCGACGGTCTCATGAGAGAAATGGACATCCTATACAGACCAAATGAGTGGAGACTGTTTATTGACAGCTCCAAAATAAGTTTGAAAGCGGTGTTGCTCCATCAAACAAACACGAAACCATCGGTACCAATCGCCTACAGCATTGAAACGAAAGAAACCTACGATGCATTAAAAAGAATACTGCAAAATGTTGATTATGACAAACATCAATGGCGGATATGCTGTGACTTGAAGGTTGTTGCAATTCTTCGCGGATTGCAAACCGGATACATTAAATATATGTGTTTTATCTGCGATTGGGACTCCAGATATAAAGGCGACCAATATACAAACCACACATGGCAGAGCAGAGAATCGAGCAAACACGTAAATGCCAATGTAATTCAAGATCCTTTGGTGCCACAAGACAAAGTTATATTACCTCCACTTCACGTGAAACTTGGAATAGTCAAAAGTTTCCTGAAAACTGTGGCTAAGAGGCAAGAAGTTTATGCGGTTTTGGCACAAATTTTCCCTCGACTTAGCGAAAGCAAATTGAAAGAAGGTATGAAACCTTAAATATTATTTTTTTCACAACAAAATGAGATATCAGATTGAGTATTAAATCGTAACATTAAAACTTTCTCCTTTTAGGCGTTGTGAATGGCCCAGACATTCGAAAACTGGTGAAAACTGAAGAATTCGACAATGTTTTAATTGACAACGAATTGACTGCTTGGCGTTCCATAAAAGAGGTCATTGAGGGCTTATTAGGGAAACATCGGTCTGAACACTATCAACGTTCTGTGCATACAATGTTGGATGCGTTCTCCAAAATTGGTGTTAATATGTCGCTGAAAATTCACTATTTGCATCATCATCTAGATTACTTCGGTCGACAGTTAGCCACCGAGTCAGATGAACAAGGAGAACGTTACCACCAAGTAGCCGTGCCATTTGAAATGAGGTAATGTGATTAATTTTTTGTTGCATAGAAAACGGATTTTAATGAAAACAATTCTTGCGGAAATTTGTTGGTGGAGCAAAAATGTGTTTGAAGATGAAGAAGAAGAAGAAGGAGGTGTCTCAGAAAGAGAAACCGAAATTTTGGTAGATTCAGACGCTGACTCTGACGATGACAGCGATGGTATCGACGATTTCCCACTCCAACTGGCACCAAAAAGGGTTCGAGCAACATAGTCGTTCCATCTCATTTATCGTGTAATTCATTGGAAAATAAACAAAAAATACAAGAATAATGTTTTTTAATTAAAAAAATTAAATCCTAATTACTTTGCAAAAATGGGCTAAAAAAGGCATTTTCAACCACGAAATATTTAATAAATATTAGATATTCTATTTTTTCAAGTTTAAATGGTTAAGTATATCCATTTATACATCGCGAAAAGTCGATAAAATGACCCAAAAATATGCGAACTTCAAGAGGTTGCATAGCCACCGCCGGCGCATTCGCGAAAAATTTCAGGTAGCCATTAAAAAAAAATCCGAGCTAATAAAGTAAAACCCCGGGGGGATTTTGTTAGTCTATTGGTCTACTTTCATTTCCCGTTAGAGTCATTTGGGATGGAAGCGATGACCCGAAATTTGTTGCACTGTGTTATATTGTAGTACATAGTATTCATGATACCATTTCGTTTGGCACCTGGTTCAAAAAAATCGGAATATAAATAACAGAGTTACAGCTTGGGGCGTTTTTTATCTGACAGCCTGTTATATGTAAACAATTATTAAATAATAATAAAACGATATTTAATACAAATATTTATAGGCACAGTAATCGCACAGGAAAATATTGTCGCATAGCGTCTCCTGCCCAAGCCCGACTCTCACCTCCACAAAGCCTCAAGAGGTAACAAAGGAACCCTGGAAACCTAAGCAACCTAAGCCAACCCGTACGGTTAGGGCGAACGAGAGCGAAAGAAATAGTCCCCAGAAAAATATGCAATTGATTACGAACACGTTCAAAAAACCTTGTAAATTGGACTGATCAAAAGAAGACGACTGCGCAAGAAAAAAATTGCTGAAAATATTTTTGAAAATTGCGACATGGAACGTGAGATCCCTATATGGCGCAGGTGCGCGCCAGAACCTCTTGAACGAAATAGATAGATATAAAAGCATCACCGCTCTGAAGATATCAGGCAAAAGAAGAAAGCAAGATTTTATTACTAGAAGAACAGGCGCAGAAATGTTGGCTAGTGGTTAATTCGACAATGTACACGAAACTCTAACTTCCTGAACTGCCACCTAGTTACTGACGAATCTTGTTTTACCAGAAACGGGATAATAATTTTCGTAATACCCATACTTGGCGCGAAGAAAACCCTCATACGACTGCTTCTACTCATTACGAACATACTTTTTCCTTAAATATCTGGTGCGGTGTTTTTTGTGACAATCTCATCGGCCCTTTCTTTTTACCACCCAGGCTTTCCGGAATATCTTACTTGAATTTTTTGCAAAATAACTTGTATGAGCTCCTAGAAGACATTCCGATTGCCGATAGGCAGGGGATGTGGTTTATGCATGACAGTGCCCCTTCTCACTGTTCTCATCTTGCCACTGATTATTTGTTTAAACAGAGCATATGGTAACCGATGGATTGGTCGAAGCGGACCTGTGAAATGTCCACCACGGTCCCCTGATCTAACACCGTTAGATTATTTTGTGTGGGGCTGGATGAAATCTATAGTTTACTCTACATCTATCGGCACCCAAGAAGAGCTCAGAAATCGTATCGTGGAAGCCGCAGTAATTACCAATGGCCGTCCTGATGCTATAAGACTTGCCAGAGAAGCGTGGATTCATCGTGCTTAATGTTGCATTCAACAAAACAGGAACCATTTTGAACATTTACTCTGACCACTTCATTGACAAATTAAAATTTTTCATTTTCAATACCTCGGTAATAAATTAATTTGAGACATATGTTTATAAGAACTTGTTTGTTTATTTTGTGCTGAAGAATACAACCCTAAAATAGTGCCGTGCAATTCTGAAACACCTGTATAATCAAAGACTCTGCACACTAAGAAGAAAATTCTTTTAACTACATGATCCTATGCGTCCACGTCCCAACTGGAAAAAAACAAGAGAATGTTAAAGATCTATTCCATGAAGAGTTCGAAACAATTGGTAACTATACATGAAGAGTTTAACGATAACGGGATTAGCAATCAGAAATAAAAAGCTGGCGTTCAAAACTTGGCAGATATCGAAACAGAAAACTGATCGCATTAACTACACATGTCTAGAGAAGCTTTCTATAGCGTCGGATGCTATAGAAATGTCGGATGCTAACATTTTTAATAAAGAGAAATAAACACATCGAAAGTAAGACTCAAAGGGTCCTAACGATGAATGATGATATAAAAAGCAGGTGGTATACTATAGGGAGCTAATGGACGAAGAGTACCTATGGATAAAGTTAGAACCTCTGTCACCAGTTGAAGAACCTTTACTACATTGATGATCTATAAATAATAAACTTAAAGAAAACAACGCAATATTTGTAAAGGCAGACAAAGGTGCCAGAATAGTAATTATTGATAAAGACTCTTACATTCAAAAAACTGTAGATTTCATACATAACAACAATTACATCAAGCTGACTAAAAACCCAATTATCAACATCATTAGGAAAACGAAATTAATAATAAATAACTGCAAAGAAACACTACTCTACTACACTCCCAAGTTGAACAATTCCAATAATTATTTTTTCAATAGTTACTTCACACATATGAAACCTGAAATCCCTAGACTATATTCACTGCCAAAAATTCATAAAGAGGATATGCCTATACGACCAATCATTTCTTTTAGAAAAGCCCCTACTTCAAAGTTGGCTAATTTCATGTTTAACATTTTCAAGCTAATTGACTTCCAGCCTAGTTTTTCCATTTCCAATTCACTGCAATTCATTAATAATACCAAGAATATTGACCTTAATAATAAAATCTTTATCTCCTTTGATGTCACAAATCTATATTAAAATATCCCCATAGAATATACTCTTCTACTTGATCACATATTTTTCAAAAATTCAGTAACAACAATACTATTGTGAATCACCTAAGCACAATTTTGAGACACATTGTTACACAGAACTACTGCCTTTTTGATAATAATTATTACAAGATTAACGAAGGCCTGCCCATATTTCTCGACCACATTGAAAATACTTTTATTATTAATGACTGTAATCCTTTTAAACAATACATAACTACTTGGGTTAGGTATGTTGACGATGTTTTTTGTATATGGGTTGGAGATCTCCTCTCACTGGAGCTCTTCCATAACTATATTAATCACCTACGTCCTAATCTGAATTTCACTTTGGAAATAGAAAAAAACAAAACACTTAATTTTCTCTACTTACAACTTAAGAATATAAATATGATAAAAAAAAAGAAAGATATCTGTTTTGATATCTTTCGAAAACCGACTAATGTTAATACTACAATTCCATATGGCTCCTCTTATCCTTTATCCCATAAATTGGCGAACTACCGTTTTTTATTCAATAGAGCCCTCAACTACCCACTTTCAGAAGAAGATAGAACAAAAGAATTTACCTACATTTATAAACTTGCCATGGCCAATAACTTTCCAAATAAAATTATTAATAAACTCCTATATAAAATTAAACTTCAGAAAGATCCATTATACTTAAAATGTACAGAACCTAAGATTTACAAAGTTATTCCTTTTAATAATATTACATTACAATCCAAAAATATTTTTTCTAAGTATAATATATCATTGGCTTTTTCCAATAATAATTCTATTCTCAAATCAAATTCTCTACTCTCAAATTGTCATATGGAGAAGATAGACACTCTTGACAAATGCGGTGTTTATTCTATAGAATGTTCTAACTGTGGTGGAATATACATAGGACAAACAGGAAGAAGATTAGGAACAAAATTAACATGTCTGATTATATGAGATCTAACCCGTCTTCGTATTCACACCCTCTAAATCAACAATCGATGCAGGCAGTTAGAATATTAACGGAAAAGCACCGCCTGAATAAAGACGATCTGCATTTAATATTTTTAGATCGAAAGAAAGGAAAGNCACCCTATGCCTCGAAAACCACTGACATTTGTATAAGAGATGTTACGTTAAATCATCATATTTTGGTGTCTAGTATCTCCGGTATTCGAATTTCCCATTCTTTCTGACTCACCCTGTATAGTTTAAATTTTAAATTTAAAACTTGCAACATGAATCCCAAACATACTTTTCCATTAAATCTGCGCTATTCAGCTACCACTTATAAAAAGGGATTACTTTTATAAAAATAATAGTGACCTAACTGAATGTGGCAATCACCGGGGATTAAAATTAACATGTCTGATTATATGAGATCTAACCCGTCTTCGTATTCACACCCTCTAAATCAACAATCGATGCAGGCAGTTAGAATATTAACGGAAAAGCACCGCCTGAATAAAGACGATCTGCATTTAATATTTTTAGATCGAAAGAAAGGAAAGTAGTATGGCAATCTGTCAGAACGCAACATCTGCCTGAATGTTACATACATTTAGTATAAGATATGTATCACAATGTTCGTAGAGTTAAGACCCTGGCCGGTCTCAGCCAAGAATTCGAAGTGGAAGTGAGTACTCATATACGAAGTGAGACTCACAGAATAACCAGAATAGCCATTGGGGTTATCTCGCCAAAACTATGTCTGTGCAGCGACTCCCTGTTTTAGAAGGCACATCTTGTTGTTATTGGTTTGCCTTTAGTTCCCTCAACAAACTGGCAACGTCGAGAAAAGATTCTTACACAGATTCTTGAAAAATAAACTTGAGGAGTGTACTTTAACATCATTCTGGTTTTAACAGAAAAAGCTCTGAAATACATTTTGCCTTTTCTAACTTCATATTTATGTGAAGTCGCCTTTTCAGCATTTGTAGACATTAAGTCGAAAAAAAGGAACAGAATATTGGACGTGGAATCTCATCTTGTGTTTGACTCTAATCTTCGTTTTACTGTCAACATATTTTTTCGAATACAATTAAAAGGTGCAATAAAAACTCTAGTATTCCATTTAAAATAACGAAATTGAGGTCTACTTCCAGGAACCGGAAGTGGCCACCATCCTGAAAATACTTTAGATAGAAAGATCAGTATGAGTCTCCCATATAAGCTAAATTTCAGGAACGTTGATGCAATGGAACAGAAATAAAACGGGTGTTGCTGACTTTTTGGCGCACACTGTATATCAAAAGTTTACAAAACTCTGCTATATGGGATAGAATCCTGCATGACAAAAAAAACTCATGCAAAAACATCATATTACCGAAATGAAAATGTTACGATGGTCGGGAGGACTTACGACCACCTATTCCACATTAGACAAGCTGAAGATCAAACTTGTCGACTTTGCAACGACTAGTCAGAAACGGCTGAACATATACTGTGTAATTGCGTTGCCAGAGGCCCTCTAAGACACAAAATTTTCGGTAAAGATCTTTTAACACCTACCAAAATAAAGGAACAAGACCTTGGAGCAATACTAAGGTTCATTAAGGACCTACATTTGCCCTAAACTTTTGAAGGGCTAAAGTTACACCCCTTAGCCCGACAGCAATAAAAATAATAATATTCTATTTATATGGTAAAATCGCAGAAATTGAACAATCAATTTTAGAAACTTTACCATTTTCATGTAAAATTGAAGTAAATTAATTAAAATTTTACCGGCTCTTTTCCATCCATAATATCCATCCATGATTTTCGATCAGCTTCTGATAAAGCTTGGAATGTGTAAATTAGTCCCGGTTTTGAGTCGACTTGTAAATCGAAACAAAATCGTTTTTCTATCGAATCGGACATCCGTCGAACGCAAGAAGACAAAAATAATTCTTCTTGTGGTGGAACGGCTTTTGACGTTAGTTGGTTATATGGTAACATTGTAAATTTGTTCGTTTCTTTGTCGTAGGTGCAGTAATGTTTTGTCCAAGCTGCACCAAAAGCTTCTACAAATAAAAGAAAATTATAATTAAAAAATAGAAATATAACAAATCTTACTTTTTTCGAAAAGATGTAAATATCCTTCCTTTTTGCCCTTAACGTTCCTTAAAGGTTCATCTTGGGCTTGTTTTTGAACCTCAGCCATTCGCTTTTTCAATTTTGAACTGTAATCTTCAAAGTTGTCGCGCGTCTTTTGTATTTTACATTGCAAATCATTCATGTAAGGTTTAAAATCGTTCGCAACTTCATAACCCTTAAAAAAACGACTGTTAATCTTATCGAAAACACGTTTAAAATTAATTTTTCAAACCTGATGGTAAAACGTTAACCAGCTAAACATGAATCCCAGGAGAGTTTCAACGAATTCAAATTTCTTTCTTTCATGAACTTCTTGAATTAAATAAACGTATTCCATACTCGCGTTGTAAAAGTGGCGTTCTGCCATATCTACTGAAGCATCTGCCTGCAAATAAACACACACAAAAATTATTATTAACACTATAAAGAAAGTTGTTTAACGAAACTCACTCATTTTTCAAGAAAGAAAGGAATTCAATAAATAAAATGAGAACACTTTAGTTGATTGAATAGGGGTGGTGATTTTGTGGATGAAAAACTTTAAAGCAGCGATAAAACCCAGGGAATGTAGGTGAACACCGACGAAGGACAACAATCGAATTTTACGATTGCGTTTGCCCCAAATAATAAAGATGTCATTTAGATGGAAAAGCGTGGAAATGCCAGTTGCGCGAGCACCCTTCGTTACTACGTCATCAATCGATATTTCGGGTCTACGTCATTATACGATTTAGAATTACGTCATCACTTTTCTCTCCCGAATCTGATTACATTTGAGTACAGTCTCAAATAAAGATACCCGATTAATATGTTGTATGTATTTTATAATTATGAGATGCATTCAGATATCAAATTTCAATCGGATCGCATTACTGAAAGGAGTACTTTATTTGATCACATACTTGTTTCTTTTTTAATGCAAACTGATACTAAAAATTAAGCTAATTTAATCGTACATAAAGTTTGTATCAAATTGTTTTATCGAAAGTGGTATTTATCAAATGTTGTGTTGTCAGCGTCATATGAAAGAGTTGAGTATAGGCCACTTTACTGAATTTATTAAAAATTGAAGATTTGTTCACATTGAGTTGATGTTAAATTTTGTAGTTATAAATTAAGGGAAGTTTGTTTGATGTTTTTCTTAAAGTTTCTCGGATTTGGTTAGATGTCAATAAAGATTTTTAATTTACTCCTCGTTAGGACTACGGTTACAATTAAGTTTCATGAAGTACATTCAATTTCATTAAAGTTTCTTTGCTGGATATTAAATTTTCGATTAAAAATTAACGGTCCAATGAAGTTCTTAATTTATTTATTACATGAAATTAAGTTAAAATTTTAAGGGTAACAATTAATATTTCAGTAATGATTTGCAGTGATTTCTGAGTTTATGGCCACTGTATCATTTATGATCATTTCAGAGGAAGTCGTTGTGCATTAAGATCCTAATAGACAGTTGAAAAGTAAGTGCATTACAGGGCTTTATCAGACCCTAATTCATCACAGATGGTGTTAGATGACGTTTCCAATATTGAAAATGGTTTCCATGTTTTAGCTGATGTGCTGTGCTCGAAAATCTTAGTAAAAACGGTAAGAGCAATGCACATTTAATCTTTTATTATCTTTAGCGTTGTTACATATTTAAGCGATCTTATGAACTATATGATCACAAATAACTATAAATTGAGGTTAGGCGTATTTTTGTTAACGTGGCCATAAGTAGAGCGAATTTTGTGAAGTTTGCCAGTTATGGCCATGATGTGGCCACAAGGGAAGTAGCGTAAACCGAGTTATGGCCATTCTGTTAAATTTGATGATTTAATGGATTTTGAAAACTCCATTTTCCAACAATAAGCCCGGCAAAAAGTGATTTACTTCTTTCCTAAATAGACACCCAGAAGCATGTTGAATATGTCACCAAGGCAAGGGGCACTGTTACTGAGACTTGCTTCTGTTTGACTCCAAAGGGAGGACTCATTATCAAGCCAAGAGGACAAAACGTTTACAATGAATCTACAAATTCGGATAAAGAGAATGTGACAACTTTATTTTCGGTCAATGCATGCGGGCAGTTTGCTCCACCCCGACCCTCCCATTCAAGTACCTGCACTCCCTCAAGAAACATTACCAACGATACTAAATAATCCAGTTTCGGAAATAGAGGTGATGCAAGAATTCGAAGCTTCTAATGAAATAGTCACTGAGGTGCAAACACCCCAAATTTCAAACTCTCAAGTATGCTTGCCTCGTCAACTAGAAGGCTTATCCTCCGAAAAAGAGAATGAAATTGTTGCTCAACAATTACAGGATTTGTACTTCAACAGCAAAACTGAAAGTGTTGATCCATCAACATCAGCAACGTCGAATATATTTTCCACGCCTAAACGGTCTCTTGCCTCAGTGATGTCATTCCTTGACCACACCATAATCCGATAGTACGAAAAAGGAAAAAAAGAATATATTCCAAGCGTTGTTACGTCTGACAAATGGGTGGAATATTTTGAACTCAAAGAGAAAGAGAAGAAAATTCAAGAAAAGCTGAAAATGGAGAGAAAGAAGAATGCAGAAAAATAAAGTAGAGGAAGCGCAGAAGGCAAAGAAGACGAAGAAGACAAAGGAAAACTGTTTAGAAGAAGAAGAGGAGGAAGAAAAGTGGAATGAAAGTGGGAGCAGCTTAGATGATGTAGACGATATTGAGACACAAAATCAAGAAACAATTGATATGTATGGAATTGCAGCCCTCCAGGAGTGTATTGCAAAAATGTTGTGCGTGTTGGATGACGATGAGTTTGAAGTACAATGTCTAAAAAGCTTAGATCAGACTAATTGTAAGACACATTTCAAAGTGTTAGACAATGGCAAGTGTGCCATTACAATTATTGAAGATTTTTCATTAAGAAATCCTTGGAACGCTTCCAGAACCCGAACTGAAATATGTTGGTCGAAAGATGACAATTGTGTTCTGCAGTGCTGTAGACGTATTTGAAAAACAATAAATGTATTCATCAGAAAAAAAGCATAATTTGAAGTACTGTTTTTACATAGGAGACGAAGACAGCAAAACTTTCAAAGGTAGTATGGACTCCAACAAACCCTATGAAAATATTAGAGTGGCAAAAAAAGAATGCATCGATCATGTGCAAAAGCGAATGGGTACGCATTTACGAAATTAAAAAAAAAAGAACAGAGGTCTAGGAGATAAAGGAAAATTAACGGGGAAAGTAATTGATAAACTTTCCATATATTCTGGATTGGCTATTAGTAGAAATCACGATTCCGTAAAAAATATGAAAATATAGATGGACTACATTGTATCACAAACGTTTAACAGATGAAAATCCACAACACGACAATTGTCCAGTTGGTGTCGACACGTGGTGTTCCTGGCAAAAGGCGTATGCTTTGTTACAGATCGACAAGTACACCCACAAGCCAGCAATGAATAAAGATGTTTTCAACGCTATGAAACCTGTATATGAAGAACATTCCAGAGAAGATCTTTTGACAAGTTGTTTAACGGAATATACACAAAATAATAATGTAAGTTACAACGCTGTGTTATGTCTATGGCACCCAAAACGGTTCGACATTGCGTCCGATATTGCCGCTTGTAATTTTAATGACGGTCTTACAAGCATTATGGAAATAATGTAAGTACTAAAGTTAACAATTGGAAGATCGTGCTGTGAGTTTTGCCACGAAATGGACTCACGTCGCATTGCCCATGCTGAGCGCTCCATGACCAATGAGGCTAAAGAAGCTCGTAGAAGCTTATTGTGAGACAGATTAGCTGCAGAAGAAGAGAATAACCATCAGGAAGGACAAATGTACGGTGCAGGAATCGCTGATTAGAGGCTTCGAAAAAAAATATTTAATTTTTCGTAATGATCAACTTTAAAAGTCTTTTTCTAAAAATTACATTTTGCCAATTTGTGCGCATGATAACTCCCACATTTTTAAACGGATTTTCAAAAAAATTCATCTTACTCTAGGGAAGTAGCCATTTTTCGATGTATCTAAAATTGTCTCTGTTACAAGCATTTTTACGTATGTTTTTTATCAATAAATATGATATTTCTGGTAAAATTGACATCATTTTGTCAAAAATGAATATTTTAAAAAAATCCTACGTAGTTCCCTAGCTTTTGAGTTTAGAAAAGTAATCGTTCTCGAAATTTGATTATTCGACTTCTGGTTTAGGAAAAATTCTGCACACCAATTGACCTTGCACGATTTGCAAGCCTAACATTGCAAACATCTAGCGGGCGCAAGTTTAATTACTGTTAATAAATAAGATACGTTTTTAAAACTAGAAAAGGTGCTCATAAAAACCCTTTTAGAAAGCATTTTTCCCCACCCAGCAAAAAAATCTGAAAGTTATCTTTATTTTGGGGTCCTCAAGGTGGGATAGTCCCTTAAAATGATGCTGCAAAAGATTGCCGAAGAGATAGTTGGAACTCTAGAATGGGTAAAGAGGAATGGCTGGTATGACGAGGAATGCAAGGAGACTATTGACAAAAGAAAAAAGCGGGATAAAGATATACAATAATAATAATTAATAAAGATATAAATTATACAGCGCCCGACTAGAAGTCAAATAGAGGAATTTAATAGAATAAAAAGAGAAGCAAATTACATTTACAGACGAAAAACGCTGGAATATCTATATACACAACTAAGCACGCGACAAGAATTTCATGACAAGATACAAACCAGAAATTTCTATGGTAGTATAAAGAAAATTAGTCGAAGCCGTTGGTGTAAAAATACAAGCTTATGGCGATGACATTGTCGTGATGGTCAAAGGAACCTATTTGTCGAGGATATCCAAAGTCTTCTAGGTGACCCTAGATACCATTTGCGCTTAGTGTAAGGGAGAGAATCTCTCGATAAATCCGCAACAGACGCAAGATCGTTGTGCCCTTCACCAAGAGACGAAAGTTGGATGGACTAATCCGCCCAACTATCCAAGGTGAAGAAATTCCCTTCTGAAAGGAAGTCAATTATCTAGGAATAATCCTAGACAAAACCCTATCATGGAATGGACATTTGCAGGGAGTTTTGCACAAAGTTAGACTATCCTTGTGGACTTGTCGCAGTCTTACCCCTGAAAGACTGTACTGGCTCTATGTGACTGTGGTTCCTGTGTGACTATGATCACATACGGAGCAGCCTGATATAGGAAAGTGCGATAAACTTCAGTTATCAGTAAACTTTCACGAATTCAACGAGTAGCTGGATTGGCAATCTCTGGTGCGATAAGCACAACGCTAACTCTACCAACCCTCGTTAGTGAAGTCCTGTCGGCAATCACTCGAGGAGGCAAACGTATACAACAACGTCACGATAAAATGGCGAAAAGGACACATCGGAATTAAAGGACAT